AAATACCTCACTTTGCGGAAAAATTTGAAAAATGACAGGTTATTTGTTCAATGGCGAAATGGGAAATTACATAACCAAGCAATTGGCTATCATTCAATCTCAAAATTTCCACATAAAATAGCTGCTTTTTTGAAGCTTCCAAAAATTGAAACTTTTACAGGGCATGCTTTTCGTCGTACTTCCGCAACCTTATTGGTTGACAACGGGGCCGATCTATTGCAACTCAAAAGACTGGGAGGGTGGAAATCGAGCACGGTTGCTGAAGGCTACATAGAGGCATCTTTGGAGAACAAAAGTAAGACTGCTCTGATGCTATCCTCTACTTCCAAAGGTATTCAGTTGTCCAGTGCATCCACAAGTACATCACATGCGGAAACTCATCCGCAAGCGCAAGAGATAATAGTTCCAAACGAAACACAATTCCAACAGGATGGTCTCAAGATTTCCATTATAAACAACAATGCTAATTTAACAATTAATGTAAATAAGTGAATAGATTTAATTAGTTCCATGTAATACATGTGGTTTTATTATTATATGTGAGAGCTGTATGAAAATTATCAATTTGGAACGAGCAGGGAAATGGGGACGGAAAAGCATTTGCCGTCCCGGACGGAAAATGCTTTTCCGTCCTAGGCAGGCATATGCATTACCGTCCCGATAAATGTCAAAGTCCAGAAATGTGACACTTTCAAGATTTTGAAAAACCTGCAATGTCAACATTACATATGTGGTTGAAAATAAAATACTATATCAAACAAACTAAAAAGTTACTGGGTGTTCCATTTAAAAAAATGCTAATTGTGTGCATAACTGTCAAAATATATTAGTATTTTGTTTTTTGTCCACCCTATCTAAAACTTGGAGAAAAACCCTACAGTATGTTTTTTTATTTATTTAAATAACTTCAAAAATAAAGAAATTATGACAGTTTGAAATGTTATCAAGATAAAATGACCACACTGTACAATAATTTATTTGTTACTTATTTGTAAACAATAAATGAAAAATTAATACTTAGGTAATACAATTTTAATAAATAATTCTACTGTGTAAAAAAATTTTACAGTTTAGCTGTCAATTTTACAAGTCAGTAGAGCCAGTAACTGGTAAAAATCAATTTTCGTTGTTTATGTTTTGACTTGATAAATGACGTTTTACAAATGAGTGACAAAAAAATAAAAAACGCGTAACCAACCCAGTAAACTCCGATCGGAGTGATCCGCAGTCAACGTGTTAAAGAATTTTAAAATAAAAAGTGTTTTGGTGTGACTTTTTGTTTCATTCATAAAATATCCTATTTTTAGGCATTGAAATTGTAACGATTATCTATTCACTATATCGATTTTTGTAACGTATCAGTGGTATTCGCACTTTTACCAATGCGGTGTGGTAAATCCTAAGATTTACTCTTTGTGTCCGGTAAAAGTCCGAAATGGAAGCAAAATAACTAGTTTTCGGGCTTTTACCACTTGCTTTTGGTAAATCCTAGGTTTAGCGCGTTTATCCTAGGTTTTACCGAATTTCGGGCATTTACAGTAACATATATAAATAACCCCATATACATGAATATGGGGTTAACAAATCACAAAGATATATTGCAGCTCATAACATTGCAATTCATTTATTGGGACCTGAAAAATCGTTAGCATTGCATGGCTTTTATTCTTTTACGAGGTGTGAAACTACTTCCTTTTTTGCATTGAAAAGAAAAAACAGAGCATGGAAAGCATATGGGAAGATTATCCGGAGGCAACCCTGCCCATCCATCATTTATCTCTAAGTTAGTTAAGTTAATGAATTGAGAAAGGTGCAGTTTCGTAGTGGAGAACGACCAATAGCCATGTGTCCAGCGTCACAAGACAGACTAATGGAAGACTACAGAAGAGCTGCGTATCAAGCAGATCAAATATGGGGTCGATCGCTGTCACCCGGTGAACCTTTTCCATCGCCTGTAGGATGGGGTTGGAATTTAACCAACAACCGCTGGGAGCCAGCTAGCTTAAATTTGGTGAGCTCAGAAGACTAGAGAAGTATGGATGTGAAAGTCAAAGTGAGACCAACAGATGTTCGTGTCAGAAAGCTGGTCTACCTTGTACACCCGCATGTACTAACTGCAAGGGCGAATGTCAAAACCAACGATCCCTGTAGTTTGCAGTATCTGTTAAAGCAGCGGCTAGTGAGGTAGTGCCACGGTGCCACGGAGCCTTGATAATACCTTATTTTTCTGAAAAAAAAAAGATTTTGTAACCTTCATATGATAACTTGAAACATTTCTGTGAAAAATAAGGTAATGACATGGCTTCATGTACCTTAGTACTACCGCATCAGCCAGCGCTGATCTATTAGGAATTTTTTGTCTTTGATGGGACATTTTAATTTTTATGTTATGCTAAGCAATCATTTTTGATTTTTAACCCCCCTCTATTGGCGGTTTCAAACATGTTATATTAAAATTATTTTAGAATTGAATTAAACTGTAATTTTCAAGGTTACTGAAGGTCGTATCGTTTTGAATTATATATATATATTTTTTTTCGATTCCTTGACCTCAAATTATATATTAAAATGTATAATCATGCCCAAGTGAATTAATTTTGAATTTGAGGAAATTCCCGTCCGCCATTTTGAAAAAAATTGCGGGATTGGGAGTCTTGAGGGTCGTAGAGCCTGGCTAATCGGATCAAATCTCTTAAAATGAGCTTCCTGACAACTATGCCAAATTTCATGCTTGCAACCCAATTTGGCGTTTTTTTTTGTGTAGGCTCTCCACTATAATAAGTTAGTCCAGGATAGTAATTACAGAGATATTGTTTAGGCCGTACAGTGGGACCGTTGCCCCACCCAACATATGATGCATCAGTCTGCCACCTACCGGAGATTCGCAAAGAATATGTGCAACTCTCTCCTCGTCCTCCATGCATAGTCAGTACTCAGCATCATCTGCTAGTCCAACCCTGTGCATTTGGTGTTTAGCCTACAGTGTCCAGTGTAGCCGCTTGGGGTTCTCAGCTTAGTTCTGCCAAGCTTCAGCATTCTTCCAAACGAGCGTTGTTTCACCGGTTGTCTTATGATTGCCTTCACTTGTGTCATCCCTGGCAGGCTTAGCTAATGTTCGTAGACTTTGTTGTCCATCCAGGTTTCAATAGTGTGATTTGACAGGTTTTGCGCAATGCCCAGCACTGGTTCTGGTCCTGTGAAGTTGGTTTCGGCTCTTCCTCTGGCAAGGAAATCCGCCATTCAATTTCCCTTAAGGCCAGCGTTTCCCGGTCTCCACATTAGGGTTACCTTGTTTTTCTTCCCTTATTTACTTAAAGTATCCTGACTGTTCTTGAAATAGGTACAGTACTTAGATGGACAACAGCCGCTGATCATTGCCGATGACGAAACTCACGAAGAATTCTCCAGCAGCCTCTGGTCATTGACGATGACTCTCACCTTCTTCAGTAAATGAATGGTCACTCCCGATGGACACAGGTCATCCGCAACCCATGGACCTGAAAGTGGTCCCATCGTGGCCTGAATAATGGTTTCATAGATACCAAAGTTGGTCAGTTGACCGACCATAATCAAAACTTGGTTCAGAATTACCTGAAACTTGGCAGTGAAGATTGGTGTTCCGTATTATACCTGTACAACATTATGATAACAACCATGTGAAAACACAGGAATGGATAAGAGTAAAACTAGGGAGAAATGGACTTAATTACGAAAAGGTGTATGTACCTATCAACTGGAAGATCAAGCTCAACTTACTAAAGAGAGAAGATATTTTTTTTCATAGGACAAACGTTGACCCTACTGCGCAATATTGAGAGAGGCTTGGCTATGTCAGAATTATTTTTTATGGTTGTGTGATTTGTGAGTTTGGAGTCGATTCTGGAACCTTCTCACGCCCATCTCAATGACATGCAATTCCGCTTAAAAGATGGTTGCATTGTTCCCTAGCATGATGGATAACCTGGTTTTCTGTCTGTCTTCAATCCATCCAAAGCAAAAGTGATCTCAACAACGCTGAAGGAGGAAGAAGAGTCAGCATTGAATTTTTTTTCGTTGAAATAAGTAAGCGAATACCTATACCTACCAAGGTCGGAGTGAAATTTTCTGAAAGTGTTCAATTTGGTGCTAGCATATTCAAACTCTATCAACCCTCCCAAAAAAAAAAATGTTGGATGAGAGCGAGAATCAGCTTAAAGGATGTGGTAGAAAGACCAGAGGTGGAACTTACAATGGTGGGCACAGATCAAGAGATAAGCCATAGATGTCATGAAGAGACGACCTCACATACTGCAGGATTACACTAGAGATCAGTTGGTGGTGATTGAGTTTAAAGTCTAGAAAAGAGAGACTCCATATCTATATCCATTGATGAAAGAAGAAGAAGAAAAATATTGCTGTATCAAATCGTTGCTTGAATCTCGGTTGTTCGACTCGTTGGTAGAAATTTAGCTTATTTGTTGTGCGGTTTGTCAGAAATTTAGAGAGTTGCATTGGAGATTTTTCCTGCTGAACCTCTACCTATCTTCAACATTTCGGCAGTTACATAGGCGATGATTTTTTCGGGGCTTTTCTATTTTCCATTTGTTTAAGTGAATGCTTTTTCTGCTCGCCTTATTTCTGTTTTTTTTTCCGAGTCGCCACTTAGAATTTTTGGTTAAAACTATGAGAATGCAGGACAGATACTTATTCGTTCCATTATATCATAATGTTACAGTTTACGTGCGCACTCCACTAACATTGCCTAATTTTCCTCAAAGGCATGGAGCTGGTTGTTTTTCTACTTTTTATGCGATAAAAAATAAACTGTCATAACATGTTATATTTATCTATCCACTAAGATTTATTTACTAAGTATAATAGCCTTTTTTTCCAACAGTAAACTACTATAAAATAGAGTACCTACGTACTTCCCTACTGATTTATTTATGAAAAATAAATTGTCATGCTTTCTGTAATGAAGGCTTCTATAGTGTCTTTCTCAATAGCATTTTTTTCAATAGCACATGCGATTATTCCAAACTTTGATGACCTGTATAGGGAAACTGAAGATTTGATTAAGTTATCTGGAACTTTCCAGAGATTAAAGAATAATGATGAGTATTTCGTCAATTTTGATGACAACAAGAAGCCACTGGGTAAGCAAAAGTACAAATTCATTAAGCAAAACCTAAGAATAAGTACCCATGCACTATGCCTAAAACATATTGTCAATTTACAAATACATATTCTACTTAGGTATAGGTACTAATTTTTGTTGTAGATTATGGAACATTTGAATATATAGTTGTCGGAGCTGGAACAGCGGGCGGTATTGTGGCCAATAGATTATCAGAATCCAATTCTAAGGTCTTATTAGTTGAAGCAGGCCCTCGAGATCCAGATACTACGAAAGTGCCAGCTCTGGGCACTTTTTTTTTCTACACACCATGGGATTGGGGTTACAATATAACTAAACAAGATAAAATATGCCTTGGTAATATTCAAAGATATCTTATCGTATATTAAGGAGGAAATTGAAAATTTAATATGAATCTTGAGTCAATTGAGTCGTTTTGTAGATAGGGATATTGCGAAGGATTCACTGACGTATTGGAAGCATTTCTAGGTTTACAAGGACTTTAGCCTTTTGTTCAAACTTCTCCATTGAAAAAAATGGCAAAGAACGAAATATAAGCATAACTTCGTATAACTTCATGAGTCTTCCAATGTGCACGATGTAGATCATAAAGTCCCTATATTTCCTTAAATCGAAGGTACCTAACAATAAGATTTGTTCAGGCTCTAAAAATCGAATATCACAAAAGTATGCTAAAGATAAATTCATTCGCTATAGACCGTCAGATATTGACAGATTTAGGTGCCCCTTTTTCGCATACAAGCCTTAAAGAAAATTGAAAATTAAATTATTTTTAAGTAGGATGAAGGAAAACTTACTTAGGTACTTTTCAACAACCAAATACCATTATAGGATATGAACAATAATCAATTTACTAGATAGTCGTCTCCTGGGTTTGTTTCCTCCTTCTTGGTAAACGCGAATTATTAACATAATTTTGATAAGATAGCTGTGTAATTATTGCAAAACTCTTTTTAGCAACAATCGATAAACGCTGTATTTTTCCAAGGGGTAAAATGTGGGGTGGAACAAGTAGCCTCAATGGAAACGTATATAGTAGGGGCACCAAGTGGGATTATGATACATGGGCAGAAATTGTTGGCAATCCTGACTGGTCTTACGAAAATGTTTTGCCTTATTTTAAAAAAGCTGAAACAGCAAGATTTAAAATCGACTTGGATAAAAGTTATCATGGCTTTGATGGCCCCCAGTTTACAGATTTGATAGAAGACACTCCTGGATTGGTGAGAATAATTTATACTTCGATTAAAAAAACTTAATGCAATCAATTTACTTCGAAGACTAAAATGTTATTGAGAGCTTTCAAAGAGAGAGGCTCAATTGAGGTGGATTATAATGGACGGAGCCCTTATGGCGTCAGTAGAGTCCAAAATTTTCTAGATAGAAATGTCCGTGCAGGAACTGCACATTCATACATAAGACCAGCGGCTGGTCGACCGAATTTGCTCATAAGTGACAACTCATTGGTAACTAAAGTTATTATTGCAAATGATAGAGCAGTGGGTATAGAGTTTGTCAAAAATGGAAAACTATATTTTGCTCAGAGTTCTAAAGAAGTAATTTTGGCTGCTGGTGCCATAAATACACCACAAATTTTAATGCTATCTGGCATTGGCCCATCAGAAGAACTAAAAAAACATGGCATAAAACTTGTTAAAGCTCTACCAGTTGGACAAAATTTACAAGATCACGTATCAGTTTTTCCGCTATTCTTTAGGTAAGTTACTCTTTTCAGAATCTCATATCACGAATAAATGAACTTCTATAGGACTAATCACACGTACTACAATTTGATACTGAAAGAACAGCTGAAATCATGGTATGAGAATAGAAGACCATTGACTGGTGGCTGGGGAATACAAGTAGTTAACTTCCGAAACTTGAAAAATGATAGAAGTAGTAAACCTGATATTGAATTTATTACTGTTGGTCCACCTTTTTTAAGTAGTACAATTGCAACTGCAAATGGGTAAGTTTTATTATTAGCAACTTATTGACAAACATAGCTGTAAATTAGTTTATAATGTAGCCAAAAAAATGGTTAGACTGAGGAAACATTAAGTAAATTTTTGTTACTTTGATGAACAGGGATATTTCGTTCACACTGAACCGAAAAAACTTACTCTGGCGACATTGTATGTGTCAACAAAAGGAGAAGCTTGTTTTCTAGGTTAAATTAGATAAACAAAGTGAATCGTTAACATAGAAAAAAAACATTTATGTGTAGGTATATTTTTGCTTTTAAATTAATGAAAAATTCCTATAATTCAAGAGTAGGTGATGAGGAGAACGAATAGGTACCTAGTATTATGAAAACAAATTCGAAAGTGAAAATGGTTTCTCTTCAAATCAACAAAAGACAACTATTATTATCTACTACCTATTGCGAACTAAAGTTCCAAAATTAGGAAAAAAAAACTATTGACCTTTCCTGGTGGACAGGACATAACTTTAGATTTGCCAATCACCATCAGGACAGGTTTGCTGACTTATAAAACTATATAAGATTTCCCTTTTCAGATTCAATGAGGAATACACATCTGCATACCAAATTCTAAACCAGTACACTGATTTCACATTTGACGTCGTTTTGCTACATCCTGAATCAAAAGGAGAAGTGACACTGCAATCGAAAGACCCACGAGATTATCCTTTAATAAACCCCAATTATTTTGCCGCTGAGAAAGATCTAGAAACAATATACCAATCAATAAAATGGTTGTTAGAAATAAAAAATACTGAAGCTTTCAAAAACTTTAAAGCAGAGCGTTTGTTGGTAGCAATGCCAGGTTGTGATGAAAATTACAAAACGGATTCTAGAAATTGGTGGTATTGTGTGATTAAACATCTCGCGTTTCCTGTAAGTAGGTAGAAAAAATTAACTCTTTTTATTCTATTCTCTTTTTCAGGGCTCTCATGTTACAGGCTCGGCAATAATGGGTACATGTCCCAGTAACTCTGTTACCAATCCGGAACTTAAAGTTCATGGAATTCGAGGGCTTAGAATTGCAGATGCTAGCGTTATTCCAGTTACCATTTCTGGTCATACGACTGCACCTACTGTAATGGTTGCAGAAAAAGTGTCTGATCTTATCAAAGCTGAACATGGACAATAAATATTACTACCTATACAGTTTATTAGATAGATATTCACTTAAAAATTGAAGATCGCAGATTTGATCTACAAAAAAGCATTGGTATATAAAATTCTGTGAAATGGATAATATTCTTTTCCAGAAAAACATGAAATTATTGTCTAAAGACTGAACTCATAAATACGAACCAGGGTAATAAATGAATATATAACTTACTAAACTTTATTCAACATATTATTTAATAATGCGTGTTTGTTTCTATAAATATAATCTACTTGTTTTTTCACTAGCACATCCATGTATTTCAACGTTTGCTGAAATTTATTAGGAAACTGAAAAATCGATTAGAGAAAATGCATTGCAAATCAAGAGTCACTCTTAGAATAATTTGACAAAATCAGGACATGTTTGAACAGTAGGCAAGAGCTTTCAAAACTACATGATCCGGAGTAGAAATATCGGCGAGAGTAATGATAAAATAACTTTCGTATTATCATGAAACAACACCCAACCAAATCTCTTCAAAATGTTGTTGCTTATTGGGTCGCCAATAGGCAGTATACAATCCAAGACAACTTCCACTGACTAGAAATATTTGAAAGCACTAAAAAATCTCGCTCAATTGACTACTAAAAACATTGCGCCATTAAATTTGTCACATTCCACTCCTTGGTTAAAGCAGCAACCATGTCTTAGTAAAAAAAATGGGCTTTTTCACAATTTGTAACCCCTTTTGTTACTGAATTAACAAGAGGCTCATAATATGCTTGGTTTGCTCAGCAAATAATTATTAGGGGTGGGTTGATAGTTTAATAAGTACAGAATGGCAATGGCGCCACTGAATTTAAAATTAAATTACATAAAAGATTGGGGTGTGTAAATTCAGAAACACACCTAAAAAAAATAATCAGCAAATGGTTATTGGTAATTCTGAAAAGGAAATAAATGAGGCATATAACTCAACCAAATCTTGACACTGGTAAAACCAATAAAACAATTAGGTTAAGTTTCAAATTAAATTAGTAGGTATATATTTTCACAGTGAGGTCAAAAATCAAGTATTGAATAATTTCAAAGTATAAAATCAATTGCTGGTAAATCATTTTTAATGAAATCAATAAATAGAGGTTAACTCTCAATAAGTTTCATCAATTCAAATAAAAGATAATATTACAATTTACCTCAATATACTTTTCCTATAAATTTATTTTTGATCTTGCTCCCAACCATCAACCATTATCAGTGGCTATGGTACAAGCACAAGCAAGAACGAGCCCAATAGCCCAGTGACCATTTTACCGGGCATTTTACCTTGCAACTAAAAAAGGTGTTTTGGTAATATAAATAATTTTGCTAGTAATAGTATTGTTGCAAAATAGTGCGGAATTACAAAATGTGACCTGCCGAATAAAAGGTGAAATAGGAAAACAGTGAATGTGTTTTGGTGTCGGGTCAAATAGGCCAAATGTTTCCATCGGTTTTCCTAGAATACTGGAGCACAAAACTACAAGAATGCTGCTGCTGATATTGTCATAGACAAGATAGGTAAGATTTTTGTAATCTGCCTACTTAGTTTTTCAAATTGGAATAAACTATAATCGCAACAAACCGTGGAAAACACATTTTTATAGATTAAGATTATTATACCCAAAAAAACAAATGGGGAATTATGGACACTATTTTGGTTAAATATATTTGAATTTACCCATTTAAAAATAGGGACACAATTTTGTTCAATATATTCGAACCTATTTTTAATAAGAGTTGTTTAATTAAACCCAATCAACAAAAGAACATGTACCTACGGTTTGTTGAGGATAACCAAGAGTAATTCCTGATTTTGTTTTGCAATTTAACAAGCTTGAATTCAATACAAAGGTAGAGTGCGGTAGTCGGTAGCTATCCACTTTTTCCAACTTGACGAGGGAAATTGCACATGGAAGTTGCAAATTCTAGCCTGGAATCAAGGCTAGAAGTTTAGTTTTCTTCGTCAAATGTAGAGTACACGTATCGACACGTGAGGGACTTGATTCCTCTAGGAAATCACTTCCCCACATAACAAAATTGCATCCTTAGAATGTATTAAGAATGTTCTTTTTTTAGGAGGAATGTGCCTAGAATGTTCGCCAAAACCATTGCGAATGTCCTGAGAATGTTCTGAGAAAAGATTGTAGAAATACTGTTTGCAATACCCAAGAACTTCCTGGGAAATCCATTAGGATATTCCTAGAATATACCTATGAGATTCTCACTACATCCTTAAAAGAATATTCCTGTTTGATTCTAAAAATATACTCGAAATGTATATTCTCACTTTGAAAGAATGTTTCTATGACATTATAGTTATGTTCTCAAAAGAATATTATACCAATATGCTTGAAATATTCTTAGAATATATCTACATATATCATTCTCAATATGCATCCTAGACATAACATTCTTGGTTGATTCTAAGGATATACTTGGAATGTTAATTTTCGCTTCCAAATAATGCTCCTTTCGACCCTTTCATATTAAAAGCAGTGAAAGAGTTGTTGGAAAACTTCTCTGGCAAACACAAGTATTTAACCAAAGCTCCGGTTTCGAGCTTGTTATGCTCTCGTCGAAGCATGCCAACTGAGAGAAACAGGTTCCAAGGTAATTCAAACGCGAGGCAAGATGTAGATCTTTAATAGCGCGTGGCTCCCTCTCTTGGAAGTCCTTCAAAGCAAAAGAAAAAGAATATACCTATAATATTCTTAGTAGGTTCTAGATAGAGCATTATTGTTTAATTGTCAAATTAAGATTTTTGAGTCGGTACTTTAGATAATTAGGTGAACAATATGAAAATATTCTTATCATGGTTACCTACCTACATAAACTTCTCAGCACAACTTGGTAGGAATATTCTTAATACTTGATAGAGATATTAGCCGAAAGAACATTTTTTAGGGTACATTATAATAATGTTCGTATGACAATATTCAAAGATTGTTATATAAAGTAGGTACTTAGCACAATGTTTCAGGTAGGTGCATAGAAGCAACATTCCTAGTACATAAATAGAACGTCCAAAAATGAATATTTCAATCGAAACAATCTTAGAATATTCATAAGACATTCCTAAAAGAACATTCCAAAAAGCACTTTGAGGGAATATTCTGAGAATATGAATGTTCTTTCACTGGTATGTGTGTCAAGAGCTCTATGCCCAGAGATCTCGGCTTGTTGAAAATGGATCTCGAGAAAAATGGCTCCTCGAAAAAAACGGCTCCCCGGTAATCCCTAAGTAATAGAGGCATTTCATGAATAACCATTACTTGGAAAAAATAAATAAAAAAGACTTACACGAGGGGTTCGAAATTCAAACTCAAATAAAACGATAAGTAATCACAAGACTTGCGATAATAAATTTTTCGATAGTTAATGGATTATTGCCTGAACAAGCAGAGCCTCTCCTCGGAAATAGCCAACAGACAGCGTTGGTACTAAACTAGTACTTCAAATTTAAACGAAAATCGTACCCTCTAGTTTAATAATTCGCTAGGTATTGTTATTGACGACAGAAATCTTCTTTTTTTTTATGCCAGTTACCAGACTGTCAAGATTAAAGGTAATAATTTAGCTTATAAAATTTAAATGTGAAAAAGAAAAACAGTAACATTTAGCATGTTACAAATTTACCATTGACGGGAACATATTTAAACATTAAAATGTTTCGACAATTCATTCCACTTTAAATACTGATCAGGATGATGATTTACCTACTTACTCTAATAGGTTAGGTTAGGTTAGGTCGAAAATGAGTACGGTTATTATGACCCTCAACTGCGACTCATTGGTCTATTGTAGATCATACCTATTTTCCCAATAAAGTCCAGGATAGTAATTGGAGGAATGTTGTTCAGGTCGCCCAGTGGGACCCACCTAAGATATGATGCATCAGTCTGCCACCTACCGGGCATTCGTGAAGAATGTGTGCAGCTGTCTCCTGGTCCTCCATGCACTCTACTAGACCAACGCTGCATCTGCTAGTCCAACCCTGTGCATCAGCTTAGTTCTGCCGAGCTTCAGCATCCTTCCAATCGAGCATTGTTCCACCGGTTGTCTTGAGGTTGCATTTGCTTGTGTCATCCCTGGCAGGTTTAGCCAATGTTCGTAGGCTTTGTTGTCCGTCCAGGTTTTAACGGTGTGATTTGCCATGCTATGCGCAATGCCCAGCACTGGTTCTGGTCCTGTGAAGTTGGTTTGGGCTCCACCTCTGGCAGGAAGATCCGCCATTTATTTGCCCTCAAGGCCAGCGTTTTCCGGTATCCATATTAGGGTTACCTTGTTTTTCTTCCCTAATTTGCTCTGAGTATCCTGACTGTTCTTGAAATACTAGGCGCCTTGAGAGACGTTTGGCTATGTCGGAACATATTTTTTATGGTTTTGTGAGTTTGGGGTCGATTTTGGAGCCTTCTTACACCCATCTCATTGGCATGCACTTCCGCTTAAAAGATGGTTGCTTTGTTTCCTAGCATGATGGATAACCTAGTTTCCGATTTTGCACCATAAACGCCCGCTCCCAACTCTCTGTCTGTCTTCAATCCATCCAAAACAAAAGTGATCAAAAATAACGCTGAAGGAGAAAGAAGATTCAGCATTGAATTCCTCTCGTTGAAATAAGTAAGGGAATACCTACCTACAAGGACAGAGTGAAATTTTCTAAAAGCGATCTATTTAGTGCTAGCTAATTCAAACTCTATCAACCCTCCGAAAAAAAAAAAAATTTGGATGAAAGCGAGAATCAGCTTAATGGATGTGGTAGAAAGACCAGAGGTGGAACTCAAAATGGTGGGCACAGATCAAGAGATAAGCCATAGATGTCATGAAGAGACGACCTCACATACTGCAGGATTACACTAGAGATCAGTTGGTGGTAATTGAGTTGAAAGTCTAGAAAAGAGAGACTTCATGTCTATATCCATTGATGAAAGAAGAAGAAGAAAAATATTGCTGTATCAAATCGTTGCTTGAATCTCGGTTGTTCGACTCGTTGGTAGAAATTTAGCATATTTGTTGAGCGGTTTGTCAGAAATTTAGAGAGTTGCATTGGAGATTTTTCCTGCTGAACCTCTACCTATCTTCAACATTTCGGCAGTTACATAGGCGATGATTTTTTCGGGGCTTTTCGATTTTCCATTTGTTCAAGTGAATGCTTTTTCTGCTCGCGTTATTTCTGTGTTTTTTTTTTTCCGAGTCGCCACTTAGAATTTTTGGTTAAAACTATGAGAATGCAGGACAGATACTTATTCGTTCCATTATATCATAATGTTAAAGTTTACGTGCGCACTCCACTAACATTGCCTAATTTTCCTCAAAGGCATGGAGCTGGTTGTTTTTCTACTTTTTATGCGATGAAAAATAAACTGTCATAACATGTTATATTTATCTATCCACTAAGATTTATTTACTAAGTATAATAGCCTTTTTTTCCAACAGTAAACTACTATAAAATAGAGTACCTACGTACTTCCCTACTGATTTATTTTTGAAAAATAAATTGTCATGCTTTGTGTAATAAAGGCTTCTATAGTGTCTTTCTCAATAGCATTTTTTTCAATAGCACATGCGATTATTCCAAACTTTGATGACTTGTATAGGGAAACTGAAGATTTGATTAAGTTATCTGGAACTTTCCAGAGATTAGAGAATAATGATGAGTATTTCGTCAATTTTGATGACAACAAGAAGCCACTGGGTAAGCAAAAGTACAAATTCATTAAGCAAAACCTGAGAATAAGTACCCATGCACTATGCCTAAAACATATTGTCAATTTACAAATAGGTACATATTCTACTTAGGTATAGGTACTAATTTTTGTTGTAGATTATGGAACATTTGACTATATAGTTGTCGGAGCTGGAACAGCGGGCGGTATTGTGGCCAATAGATTATCAGAATCCAGTTCTAAGGTCTTATTAGTTGAAGCAGGCCCTCGAGATCCAGATACTACGAAAGTGCCAGCTCTGGGCACTTTTTTTTTCTACACACCATGGGATTGGGGTTACAATATAACTAAACAAGATAAAATATGCCTTGGTAATATTCAAAGATATCTTATCGTATATTAAGGAGGAAAATGAAAATTCAATATCAATCTTGAGTCAGTTGAGTCGTTTTGTAGATAGGGATATTGCGAAGGATTCACTGCCGTATTGAAAGCATTTCTAGGTCTACAAGGACTTTAGCCTTTTGTTCAAACTTCTCCATTGAAAAAAATGGCAAAGAACGGAATATAAGCATAACCGTATAACTTCATGAGCCTTCCAATTTGCTCGATGTAGATCATAAAGTCCCTATATTTCCTTAAATCAAAGGAACCTAACAATAAGATTTGCTCAGGCTCTAAAAATCGAATATCACAAAAGTATGCTAAGGATAAATTCATTCACTATAGACCGTCTGATAGTGACAGATTTAGGTGCCCCTTTTTCGCATACAAGCCTTAAAGAAAATTGAAAATTAAATTATTTTTAAGTAGTATGAAGGAAAACTTACGAGTGGTTTCTGTACTAACTCATTCGCGCCACACAAACCAGAATATTTTTCAGGCTACAGGCTTTACATTTTCATCTTTTCGATGAACTTGTGTGGAAAAATCGCTCAAAATCTCGATTTTTTCATACACGATTACGCTTTCGACCCTTCAGCCATCTGCACCACTCAAGCCTTTGGTTTGGAAGAAGGATGCTCGTTATTCCTAAACTACAGGATAATTCAAAGTGGGTCTTAGGTACATTTCAACAACCAAATACCAATATAGGATAGGAACAATAATCAATTTACTAGATAGTCGTCTCCTGGGTTTGTTTCCTCCTTCTTGGTAAACGCGAATTATTAATATAATTTTGATAAGATAGCTGTGTAATTATTGCAAAACTCTTTCTAGCAACAATCGATAAACGCTGTATTTTTCCAAGGGGTAAAATGTGGGGTGGAACAAGTAGCCTTAATGGAAACGTATATAGTAGGGGCACCAAATGGGATTATGATACATGGGCAGAAATTGTTGGCAATCCTGACTGGTCTTACGAAAATGTTTTACCTTATTTCAAAAAAGCCGAAACAGCAAGGTTTAAAATCGACTTGGATGAAAGTTATCATGGCTTTGATGGCCCCCAGTTTACAGATTTGATAGAAGACACTCCTGGATTGGTGAGAATAATCCAGAATTTAATTTAAAAAATTTAATGTAATTAATTGACTTTGAAGACTAGAATGTTATTGAGAGCTTTCAAAGAAAGAGGTTCAATTGAGGTGGATTATAACGGACGGAGCCCTTATGGCGTCAGTAGACTCCAAAATTTTCTAGATAGAAATGTCCGTGCAGGAACTGCACATGCATACATAAGACCAGCGACTGGTCGACCGAATTTGCTCATAAGTGACAACTCATTGGTAACTAAAGTTATTATTGCAAATGATAGAGCAGTGGGTATAGAGTTTGTAAAAAATGGAGAACTATATTTTGCTCAGAGTTCTAAAGAAGTGATTTTGTCTGCTGGTGCCATAAATACACCACAAATTTTAATGCTATCTGGCATTGGCCCATCAGAAGAACTAAAAAAACATGGCATAAAACTTAATAAAGCTCTACCAGTTGGACAAAATTTACAAGATCACGTATCAGTTTCTCCTCTATTCTTTAGGTAAGTTACTCTTTTCAGAATCTCATATCACGAATAAATGAACTTCTATAGGACTAATCACACGTACTACAATTTGATACTGAAAGAACAGCTGAAATTATGGTATGAGAATAGAAGACCATTGACTGGTGGCTGGGGAATACAAGTAGTTAACTTCCGAAACCTGAAAAATGATAGAAGTAGTAAACCTGATATTGAATTTATTGCTGCTGGTCCACCTTTTTTAAGCAGTAAAATTGCAACTGCAAATGGGTAAGTTTTATTATTAGCATTTTATTGACAAGCATAGTTGTAAATTAGTTAATAATGTAGCCAAAGGGATGGTTAGACTGAACAGGGATATTTCGTTCACACTGAACCGAAAAAACCTACTCTGGCGACATTGTATGTGTCAACAAAAGGAGAAGTTCATTTTCTTGGTTAAATTAGATAAACAAAGTAAATCGTTAACATAGAAAAAAACATTTATGTGTAGGTATATTTTTGCTTATAAATTAATGAAAAATTCCTATAATTCAAGAGTAGGTAATGAGGAGAAGGAATAGGTACCTACTATTATGAAAACAAATTCGAAAGTGAAAATGGTTTCTCTCAACAAAAGACAACTATTATTATCTACTACCTATTGCGAACTTAAGTTCCAAAATTAGGAAAAAAATTTATTGACCTTTCCTGGTGGACAGGACATAACTTTAGACTTGCCAGTCACCATCAGGACAGGTTTGCTGACTAATTGGATTTCCTTTTTCAGATTCAATGAGGAATACACATCTGCATACCAAATTCTAAACGAGTACACTGATTTCGCATTTGACGTAGTTTTGCTACATCCCGAATCAAAAGGAGAAGTGACACTGCAATCGAAAGACCCACGAGATTATCCTTTAATAAACCCCAATTATTTTGCCGCTGAGAAAGATCTAGAAACAATATACCAATCAATAAAATGGTTGTTAGGAATAAAAAATACTGAAGCTTTCAAAAACTTTAAAGCAGAGCGTTTGTTGGTAGCAATGCCAGGTTGTGATGAAAATTACAAAACGGATTCTAGAAATTGGTGGTATTGTGTGATTAAACATCTCGCGTTTCCTGTAAGTAGGTAGAAAAAATTAACTCTTTTTATTCTATTCTCTTTTTCAGGGCTATCATGTTACAGGCTCGGCAATAATGGGTACATGTCCCAGTAACTCTGTTACCAATCCGGAACTTAAAGTTCATGGAATTCGAGGGCTTAGAATTGCAGATGCTAGTGTTATTCCAGTTACCATTTCTGGTCATACGACTGCACCTACTGTAATGGTTGCAGAAAAAGTGTCTGATCTTATCAAAGCTGAACATGGACAATAAATATTACTACCTATACAGTTTATTAGATAGATATTCACTTAAAAATTGAAGATCGCAGATTTGATCTACAAAAAAGCATTGGTATATAAAATTCTGTGAGATGGATAATATTCTTTTCCAGAAAAACATGAAATTATTTTCTAAAGACTGAACTCATAAATACGAACCAGGATAATAAATGAATATATAACTTACTAAACTTTATTCAATATATTATTTAATAATACGTGTTTGTTTCTATAAATATAATCTACTTGTTTTTTCACTAGCACAGGCATGTATTTCAACGTTTGCTGAACTTTATTGGGAAACTGAAAAATCGATTAGAGAAAATGCATTGCAAATCAAGAGTCACTCTTAGCATAATTTGACAAAATCAGGAAATGTTTGAACAGTAGGCAAGAGCTTTCGAAACTACATGATCTGGAGTAGAAATGTCGGAGAGAGTAATGATTAAATAACTTTCGTATTATCATGAAACAACACCCAACCAAATCCTTTCAAAATGTTGTTCCTTATTGGGTCTCCAATAGGCAGTATACAATCCAAGACAACTTCCACTGACTAGAAATATTTGAAAGCACTAAAAAATCTCGCTCAATTGACTACTAAAAACATTGCGCCATTAAATTTGTCACATTCCACTCCTTGGTTAAAGCAGCAACCATGTCTTAGTAAAAAAAATGGGCTCTTTCACAATTTGTAACCCCTTTTGTTACTGAATTAACAAGAGGCTCATAATATGCTTGGTTTGCTCAGCAAATAATTATTAGGGGTGGGTTGATAGTTTAATAAGTACAGAATGGCAATGGCGCCACTGAATTTAAAATTAAATTACATAAAAGATTGGGGTGTGAAAATTCAGAAACACACCTAAAAAAAATAATCAGCAAATGGTTATTGGTAATTCTGAAAAGGAAATAAATGAGGCATATAACTCAACCAAATCTTGACACTGGTAAAACCAATAAAACAATTAGGTTAAGTTTCAAATTAAATTAGTAGGTATATATTTTCACAGTGAGGTCAAAAATCAAGTATTGAATAATTTCAAAGTATAAAATCAATTGCTGGTAAATCATTTTTAATGAAATCAATAAATAGAGGTTAACTCTCAATAAGTTTCATCAATTCAAATAAAAGATAATATTACAATGTACCTCAATATACTTTTCCTATAAATTTATTAATTGTGCTGTTGTACCCCACGCGCGTTAAAGTGAAAATTTAAAAAGTTCTGGTTGAAAAAAAACCCTAATTTTTGTTCGAATTTTTTTGTATTCATTCGTTTGTATCGTTTCGTTCGTATTTGTATTTATTATTTTGCGATCTGCCTATAACTGCGTTTCGCTTGCTAACTGTTTAAACTCTTTTTGCACTATGTTTTGCATTGGAAACTTCTCACCAGACACAGTTTTCAAGAAAATGAGGCGTAAAGAGCTAAAAGGAGTCAGCAGCAAGCCAAATTGCCAAATGCAGGCTGAACATTAAAAATTATTTGAAAATATATCAAAAAATCGATTCGCATTTTTGTCAAGAATGGTCGATTAGTTGGGTTTCAAGTCAACTATGGCGCTGTAATTCATAACCGGTAGGTACCTAACATTGCAGATATTTTCTAGAGGTGGTACGTTCTGTAAGTCAGTCTGTCAGGCATGATTTTTGTTCTAGAAAAAAAGGCCTCAATTCGTAATTAAAAAAAGTGTAAAACCCTTACCGTACACCGTTAGTGAGTTCTGGAAAAATAAATAAATAATCAAATAGACTCTAAAATTTCAACATCTGTGATTTTTGGTTCGGTTCAGTTATCTCTCAGTTCTCAGGAACATAGACATCTTTCAAAAATACCAATTGTTCACCCTCGAGGGCCTTAAGTATTGCGTAAAAAAAATGCATTCCATTTTAATTATTGTCTAGGGCCTAGGCCAGGTCAAGGTGAAAAACCCTTTTTGATCTTGCTCCCAACCATCAACCATTATCAGTGGCTATGGTACAAGCACAAGCAAGAACGAGCTCAATAGCCCAGTGACCATTTTACCGGGCATTTTACCTTGCAACTAAAAAAGGTGTTTTGGTAATATAAATATTCTTACTAGTAATAGTATTGTTGCAAAATAGTGCGGAATTACAAGATGTGACCTGCCGAATAAAAGGTGAAATAGGAAAACAGTGAATGAGTTTTGGTGTCGGGTCAAATAGGCCAAATGTTTCCATCGGTTTTCCTAGAATACTGGAGCACAAAAATACAAGAATGCTGCTGCTGATATTGTCATAGACAAGTTAGGTAAGATTTTTGTAATCTGCCTACTTAATTTTTCGAACTGTAATAAACTATAATCGCAACAAACCGTGGAAAACACATTTTTAAATTTAGATTACCATAACCAAAAAACAAATAGGGAATTAGGGACACTATTTCGTTAAATACATTTAAATTTACCCATTTAAAAATAGGGACACTATTTTGTTCAATATATTCAAACTTATTTTTGAAAGAAGTTGTTTCATTAAACCCAATCAACAAAAGAACAAGTACCTATGGTATGTTGAGGATAACCAAGAGTAATTCCTCATTTTGTTTTGCGATTTAACAAGCTTGAATTCGATACAAAGGTAGAGTACGGTAGTCGGTAGCCATCCATTTTTGGCTACTTGACGACGGAAGTTGCACATGGAAGCTGCAGATTCCAGCCTGAAATCAAGGCTAGAAGTTCAGTTTTCTTCGTCAAATGTGGGGGTACACGTATCGCCACATGAGGGACTTGATTCCTCTAGGAAATCACTTCAAGAGCTCTATGCTCAAAGATCTCGGCTTGTTGAAAATGGATCTCTTGAGAAAAATGGCTCCTCGGAAAAAACGGCTCCCCGCTAATCCCTTGGTAATAAAGGCATTCCATGAATAACCATATTACTTGAAAGAAAAAAAAAATTAAAAAGACTTACACGAGGTTCGAAATTCAAACTCAAATAAAACGATAAGTAATCACAAGACTTGCGATATTTTTCGGTAATACATGGATTATTGCCTGAACAAGCAGAGTCTCTCCTCGGAAATAGCCAACGGACAGCGTTGGTACTAAAATAGTACTTCAAATTTAAACGAAAATCGTACCATCTAGTTTATTAATTTGCTATTGTTATTGACGACAGAAATCTTCTTTTTTCTATGCCAGTTACAAGACTGTCAAGATTAAAGGTAATAATTTGGCTTATAAAATTTAAATGTGAAAAAGAAAAACAGTAACATATAGCATGTTACAAATTTACCTTTGACGGGAACATATTTAAACATTAAAATATTTCGACAGTTCATTCCACTTTAAATACTTATCAGGATGATGATTTACCTACTTACTCTAATAGGTTAGGTTAGACAACTATTATTATCTACTACCTATTGCAAACTAAAGTTCCAAAATTAGGAAAAAAAAACTATTGACCTTTCCTGGTGGACAGGACATAACTTTAGATTTGCCAATCACCATCAGGACAGGTTTGCTGACTTATAAAACTATATAAGATTTCCCTTTTCAGATTCAATGAGGAATACACATCTGCATACCAAATTCTAAACCAGTACACTGATTTCACATTTGACGTCGTTTTGCTACATCCTGAATCAAAAAATACTGAAGCTTTCAAAAACTTTAAAGCAGAGCGTTTGTTGGTAGCGATGCCAGGTTGTGATGAAAATTACAAAATGGATTCTAGAAATTGGTGGTATTGTGTGATTAAACATCTAGCGTGTCCTGTAAGTAGGTAGAAAAAATTAACTCTTTTTATTCTATTCTCTTTTTCAGGGCTATCATGTTACAGGCTCGGCAATAATGGGTTCATGTCCCAGTAACTCTGTTACCAATCCGGAACTTAAAGTTCATGGAATTCGAGGGCTTAGCATTGCAGATGCTAGTGTTATTCCAGTTACCGTTTCTGGTCATACGACTGCACCTACTGTAATGGTTGCAGAAAAAGTGTCTGATCTTATCAAAGCTGAACATGGACAATAAATATTACTACCTATACAGTTTATTAGATAGCCACCATGTCTTAGTAAAAAAAAATGGGTTTTTTCACAATTTGTAACCCCTTTTGTTACTGAATTAACAAGAGGCCCATAATATGCTTGGTTTGCTCAGCAAATAATTATTAGAGGTGGGTTGATAGTTTAATAAGTACAGAATGGCAATGGCGCCACTGTTTGTGAATTATTAACCTAATTGCAATAAAATAGCTTAGGTAATTATTGCAAAACTTTTTTTAGGAACAATCGATAAACGCTGTATTTTTCCAAGAGGTAAAATGTGGGGTGGAACAAGTAGCATTAATGGGAACATATATAGTAGAGGTGGCAAATGGGATTATGATACATGGGCAGAAATTGTTGGCAGTCTTGACTGGTCTTACGAAAATGTTTTGCCTTATTTCAGAAAAGCCGAAGGAGCAATGTTTAAAATCGACTTGGATGCAAAGTATCATGGCTTTGATGGCCCCAGTGTGCAAATTTGATAGAAGACACTCATGGATTGGTGAGAATAATCCAGACTTTCATTTCAAAAATTTAATGTAGTCAATTCATTTCAGACTTCAATGTTATTGAGAGCTTTCAAAGAAAGAGGCTCAATTGAGGTGGATTATAATGGACGCACCCCTTATGGCGTCAGTAGACTCCAAAATTTTCTAGATAGAAATGTCCGTGCAGGAACAGCGCATGCTTACATAAGACCAGCGGCCGATCGACCAAATTTGCTCATAAACAACAATGCATTGGTAACTAAAGTTATTACTACTAATAATAGAGCAGTGGGTGTAGAGTTGCTAACATAAAACTATCTAGGTATGTAACATTTCACTTTTCAGATTCACTGAAGTGTACGCATCTCCAAACCAAATCCTGAACGAGAACACTGATTTTACATTCACCGTTATTTTGCTACATCCTGAATCAAGAGGAGAAGTGACACTGCAATCAAAAGACCCACGAGATTATCCTTTAATAAACCCCAACTATTTTGCCGCTGAGAAAGATCTAGAAACAATGTACCAATCAATAAACTGGTTGTCAGAAATACTTTTTTGCTGTTGAAAAAGATTTAGAGACATTGTACCGATCAATCAAATGGATATTGGAAATATAAAACACCAAAGCTTTCAAAAACTTTAAAGCAGAGCGCTTGTTGGTGGCAATACCGGGTTGTGATGGGAATTATGAAATGGATTCTAGAGATTGGTGGTATTGTGTGATCAAACACGTAGGGTTTCCTGTAAGTAGGTAGCAAAAAGTAAACTCTTTCCTCATTCTATATTTTAGGGCTTTCATCCCATGGGTTCGGCAATGATGGGTACATATTCCAGTAACTCTGTAACCAATCCAGAACTGAAAGTTCATGGAATTCAAAGGCTTAGAATTGCAGATGCTAGCGTTATTCCAGTTACTATTTCTGGTCATATAACTGCACCTACTGTAATGGTTGCAGAAAAAGTATCTGATCTTATCAAAGCTGAGCATGGACAATAAATAATACATTTTGTTAGCTATTCAATTGAAAATTAATGTTAGCTTAAATTTTATCTACGAAGAAGGAAATAATTGGTATATAAAATTCTATGAGATGAACAATGTTTTTTTCGAGAAAGACATCGAATTATTTTCTGACTGAAGTCTTAATAAGTGAAATTATAACTTACAAATCTTTATTCAATAAATCATTCAAAAATGCGTGTTTGTTTCAATAAAAATGAATAGGTACCTCTAATAGTGGAAGATCCGAATAGGAAAGGATCTGCACCCATCTGTTTATTGGGTGAAAATTATTTTATAATAAAGTTAGTACCTATGTTAAAAAATATATTAGGTGTGGGTTGGCTAAAAAATTCCTGGCCAGACTATTATTAATAAATAATTCAAAAATTATAATTGTCACAGGCATTGCACTCATTTGTTTAACGAACAATTTCATACTAATCGAAAGTATAGGGCCTAAAGAATACAAAATTTCGCTTTTCAAAGCTCGCCAACCGTCATTCAGGCCAGATAAAAAATAGACAATCCAACGTTTTTTAAATTCTTTGGGCCCTATACTTTCGATTAGTATGGAATTTGTTCGTTAAAGAAATGAGTGCAATGCCTTTAACAATTATAATTTTTGAATTATTTATTAATAATAGTCTGGCCAGGAATTTTTTAGCCAACCCACACCTGATATTTTTTTTAACATACTAACTTTGATATAAAATAATTTTTACCCAATAAACAGATGGGTGCAAATCCTTTCCTATTCGGATCTTGGACTATAAGTATCTACCTGTTTTTTTTTCACATAGTATTTCAACTTATGCTGAACTTTATTGGAAAACTGAAAAATCGATAATAGTCCGTGCGGTTCACGAAAAAACGTAGCAAATTGGGTTAAAAGCATGAAACTTGGCATAGTTGTTTTTTAGGCTATTTTAAGAGATTTGACCCGCAGCACCTAAAATTTCACCCCTTAGGAGGGTGGTTTAACCCCTATTTCATTTTTAAAGGGTTAAAATTGTTAAAAAAAGTCTATGTCATCATATTATTTCAATAATGGTGTCATTTTAGACTAATTCCACTGTGAGGAATTCAAAAAAAGAAATATCTCATCTTCGTAGGACCCAACGGTAGGGCCCTATATTGCTGTCATATTTGATATAAGTATCAAAAATTTCGTTTTTTTTTTTTTAACCTATCTGAAAATTTATATAGAATTTGGCATAAGAAGCCCACAGCACCTCATTTCACTCCTCAGGAGGGTTGTTCAACCCCTATTCGATTTCAAAAGGGTTAAAATTATTGAAAATGTCTATCATATTATTCCAATATCGGTGTCATTTTACACTAATTTGAATATAAAGACTTTGTAAAAAAAGATGACATCTTTTTTTTTACATTCATATCTATGTGGAAAAAATATATGGCAACTTACATAGAATTTGGCTGGAAAAATCCAAAAAAAAAAATATGTTTCGAATCTGTACAGGTCATTGATACAGCTCTACACCAACTTTACACAGAAAATAACAAGCTGCCTTTCTGGGCGGATAATTCATTGATATCTTAAGCTACAAAAGAGAGAAAAAAAAAAAGAATAGGATGAGTCGTTTTGAGCGAATAGTTTACCTCTTATTACTGCATTCTCCTTTATACTTCTTGCAGGCAAGTAAGTGTACAGGGCAATTCGCTTCTTCTGCAGGAGTAACGCATTGTATCACATGGCGTGTTGCACCCACATGTATCCAGTGATCTGCATGCCTCCCAAATATGTGGTTTTTTCAACCATAATGGTACCCACTTGCCTTTATCATCTTTATATCCCCAGCTACTTGGTGCAGGGAGATCGTGCTGGTGTACCTGATCTGTTCTACCCCAAATGTGACCCGCCTGGTAAGCTGCCCTTAATGTGTGCTCATGTATAAAAACTGCAGTTGGTGGAATCAGCGTTAGTGAGCGGTTTTCGGTCGCAATTAAATATTTTCTGGCCTTACTTAGCTCATTAATCTCCTGAACATTATAAAATCGAAAGTCGTATCACAGATTATTCGAGTGCTCTATGGACATGGTCTTCTAACTCATCGTAGGGGGAAGATATTGCACGAAATGCAGATGTTGTTTCTGCAGTCCAAACTTTCTACGCCGATCGTTTCCCTTTTGATGATAGAAATGATACGGTGTCACAGTCAGTAAATGCATGGCAACCGCGTAGAACTTCTGCTTTACTATCACCAAGAACCTCCGCAATGCAGTAAACGGGAATGTATCGTATGGATTTTGAGCATCCATAGAGCAGCCAGAGATTTTCCATGCCTAGGCGTTTCAATTGAGAATAGAAAGATATGGCCAAAACCAAAATGTCAGTGTCGGCACAACGAATAAGCACTGATTTTGCACGAGATTTTTGACAGCTTATTTTAGATGTTGGTTTTTTTCTGTGTAACGTTGCTGCAGAGCTGTATCAATGACCTGTAGAGATTCGAAACCTATTTTTTTGGATTTTTCGAACCAGATTCTATATAAATCGCCATATATTTTTTCCAGATAGGTATGAATATGAAAAAAAAAAAAAAAAGATATGGTTGACATTTATGTCAAATATGACAGCAATAGATCCCTACCGTTGGGTCCTATGAGAATGAGATATTTTTTTTTTTTGAATTCCTCACATTCGAATTAGTCTAAAATGACACCAATATTGAAATAATATGATGACATAAACATTTTTTAATCCTTAAAAAATAAAATAGGGGTTAAACCACCCTCCTAAGGGTTGAAATTTTAGGTGCTGCGAGTCAAATCCCTTAAAATAGTCCAAAAAACAACTCTGCCAAATTTCATGCTTTTAACCCAATTAGGGAATCCAAACCACGTGACTTTTGCCAACCAGCCGGCATTTTGAAATTTTTATGAGGTTAGAATACGGGTTGTTACATGTCAACGATGTCAGTATTGATAAAGCCTAGTACTCATAACAGCGAAATTCGCTGTTTTTTGACATTGCTTCGACAATTTGACGTTTTATGTGTGAATGAAACGTCAAAAAAGAGCGAATTTCGCGGTTATGAGTACTAGGCTTAATCCCGTCAAAATAAAAACATATGTTTTTTGTTTATTATTTGCCAACCAGACGCCATTTGGACAGGTCGTTGGATTGCCTAATTTGCTACATTTTACCCCATTTTGATGGTCTACCGCATAGACTATAAGAGGAAATGACTTGTAAATCCGAAGTCACTCTCAGCATAATCTGAAAAAATCAAGACAAGTTTGAACAGTAGGGAAGCGCTTCCGGAACAATGTGAACTGGCAATGAGTCGAGAAGAAATCATGGAGAAATTAATGTTTAAATAATGATTCAACTCTCGTATTATTATGAAGCAACACCGTACCTAATCACTTTAAAATATTGTTATTTACTTATCGGAAACTATAGGAGTCAAATCCTAATAGAAAGCCAGCTCTTAAAGAATCAATTAGCCTACCAGCCGGGTAAATCAACTGAGACAGCCCTACACAGTCTCCGGCTGCGGATGTGAAAGAGGCCAATCACATGACATTATGGGCTTTGATCTGGGAACCTACAAGATATAAAGTGAAGCACAATAGATCCAATCAGGTCGCAGTGCGGAGAGGTCTATGACCTAAACGCCCCAACCATCCTAATTTATAATGTGTTGCTTACTGAGTCGCCAGTATACAATCCAATATAAACTCCACTGACTAGAAATACTTGAATACTAGAGGCATTACGGCATTACGCCATTAAATTTGTTAGATTCCACTACTTGGTTGAAGGAAACTGACTCTAATATTCTAGTCTACTGAATTAGTCAAATATTTGTTGATTTTAGATTTCAGAACACCTTCATAAATACATATACCTATAATTCAATAGAGAGTTGGCGTAGATACAGATATCGATCGTAGAGTCCTAGCCCAGACGTCTTTGCTCCATTTCTGGTGATCCTGATGATCTTCCTTACGTTACTCTTAAACAATTTTGGGTATAAACCAAAACAGATTCTCGAAGTCTCAAAATCAGCGGCAAATAAAACAGAAATTCCTTTTTTTAGTGAATCGAGAAAATCAAAAATGAAATCATGGAGACAATTCTGCGAGGGGATAGACGAATTAGCCCCAGCTCAACGTCTCCCAAAACTCCTTTCAAAAAACTACTTAAACGGAATTGGTCTGCTACAAAAGCCAAACGGAAAACACTGTACCGACCATATATGTAGAAAGTCTAGAACTACTGCTACAAACTCACTTTTCAGGTTCGGTTATCGTAGAAGTCCTGAACCAGGTCACTCCGCCAATCGAAGTGTCTCAAAGCCCTAACAGGAGAAACAAAAGACTGGCACGGAAAATCTTCACGATGAACAGAATAAAATGGGCGACTGATAGCTTCAGACGCTACAAATCTCCAGGCAAAGACGGGATCTTTCCGGCACAACTGCAAAAAGGCTACGAGTACTTAAAGGTACACTCACAAAAACCCTTCAAAGCGAGCCTCGTCCTAGGATACATACCACTATCTTGGAGGGAAGCTAATGTTATATTTATACCAAAAACTGGTCGTCAACCTGAGGACAAACCAAAATCATATCTCTCCCATTAGCCTTTATTATTTTTTTTTTTATTATTATATGGCATTTATTGTCATTTAGTACAATATAGATTTTACAATCATTTTATAATTTGACAATAAATACAGAATTTCTCTCCCACAAGAGAAACCTCGCACGTGGGGAAAATATTACTATAATACATCTACTTTAAAAATAATTCTATGCTACATTACCTAATCTAAAAATGTTTCATAAATGAAATTGTAAATATAAGCTATATACCTATCATATAAAAAAAATATATGCTAACTACTAATTACTAATTGGACGGATAATGTCCAATTGCTCAGTTATTCTTGACATCAACAATGTTGTGAATTTCTTCTCTTGATATTCCTGTTATAAAGAATATTTTCAATTTTCTTTTAAAAGTGAGCAAAGATATGTTTTGGAGGAGAATGTTGGAGATTTTTTCAAACACTTTGGGCGCTACGTAAAGAAAGCAACGCTGACCTATGGCCTTAGATACTCTAGGCCTAGGAAGATTTTGGTTCATGCGGCTTCTTGTTTCATATCCATGCTCAATATTTGTGATAGGAATTTTATTAAGGAACAGTCCAATTGCTATTTTTTTGAAATA